AGCAGGACTCCTAGGGAGTGGTCAGCCCCAGAGATGCTAGTAGGCAGACAGGAAAATTTTATTTTAATACCCCAGAGTACACACCTGCATTCCTACCTGTAGCACATAAATCAGAGAAATTCCTAGGAGCAAGGCCTCCCTGGATTTTATAGTGTGCTTCTGCTTTTCTGGACTTTTTTCTTTTTAAATAACATTGTACATGATCACAAGATACTTCCCATGTAGAATTGAGCTGCCAATATCTTGAATTCCTTCTCTGAATTCATGTTAGACTTCCTTTGCTGTCACTCTCTCAAAAAACCCCCAGCTAAGCAGAGAGCTGAGTTTTTTCACTTTGACTTCCACTCATCTCAGCCCTTGTTATCACAGTAACGCTGTAGGGGAAGGTCACAGTGACAGGCAGTGGGAAACGGCTGAGATGGAGAGAAGGCTGAGGGGAAACAGATGAACAGGCTTCCAGTACATTAAAGCTGCTGCAAAGAAGTAAGGAATAATTTGTTCTCTGTCCCTGTGGAGACCAGGATAAGAAGTCAGGGGCTCAACTGCAAGTGTGGAGAAAAAACTTAATTCAGCAAAGATTATTGGGACACTCAGACAGTGGCAGGAGGGTGCGTGGTCTCCATTGCATTAAGAACATGTCAGACAAATGTCTGTCAGGAATGACACAGTCTGAACCAACATCTCTTGGGGCAGGTTAATTGATCTTTCGAGGCTTTTTCTAGTCATGGCACCTTAGGACTTTTGATCCCATAAACTTTAATGAGCCTACACCATATGCTCAAAGCTAAGCAAGATAAATGTTTCTCATTTTCCAGTCTCTGAAGAGTGTAACATACCCTATGAACTTCATAGTTTCATTCTAGCTTATTATGAATTTCCCTTCTTCTGACGTAATTTTTCAGAGTTTATTTCTACTACCCAATGTGCAAACAGGTCTCTCTTATTCTTTTTCAGACTGGCAGCCAGGAAATGAAAGAAGTCACAGGCACTCTGAAAGAGCTGGACACTAAGCACCAAAAGCAAGGGAGTGGTGCAACAGTTGCCTCCAAGTCTCCGAAAAACATCAAAGAGAAGCAGCAGCTGCAGAAAACTGGAGATCTAAAAAGTGCCTCTCGTCTTCCCAGTGGGGCTATGAAGCACAGACCTCTGCCTGTAGAGCATCTCAGAAAAATTCAGGCTGACAGGTAAATGAAGCACAAATATGATGGCTCTGGGGGATGCTCAGAGCTGTAAAGTTCTCAGTCTTTCTCTTGAAAGCAAAATTACCAGTTTCCCACTGTCCCACTGCTGGTGTATCTCGCTGTTGGTCCAGAAGGAGTATCTCTGAGGAGCACAAGGGGGTCTAGCTTCACAGCCCATTTAGTTCTAGCCTTTGCTTGCTTCTGGATACCAAGTAGTGGCAACCAGTTTATTTTGAATGGAGTTGCAAAGTATTAGCCAGGATAATGGGTGCCTGAGTGGAGTTCATGACAGGATCTCGCCAGTGCTGATGTTCTGGTATCTGGAGTCAGCTTCCCCTAGCAGGTATGTACAGGCAGAACAGGATCTGAGCATTGCCTTGTGAATGAGGTTATTCTGCAGGCAAAACATCACCTTCATGGCAACTACATCTATTCTTGATAGAACAGATAATGTTGATAATGACCAAAGAGTGTATTTTTTTAAAAATATGAATGTTATTCCTGCACCTAATCAAGTGAGTTGTTTTGTAGAAATACTAACAGACCTTGGTTTAAGAGACAGACTGGGGAGCTGAGCATTCACTATGCCTTTTTCTGCCTCCTGGCTTCTGTCTTCTAGTGTTATTTTAACAAAGGGCTTCAAGAAGATTCTAACAGAAATGAGGAAAAAGCAGCTAAAATATAAATACCATATGCATCATGAAATTCAATAAACTGGGTGAGCCTAATTGTTAAGATCAGCTTAAGGCTGCATTGGGGTATTTTGGCAGCCAGATATCCCTTCAGAGACACACTTGTCTGCATCTTCAGGTTTCATTGTCCAAGGTCTGCCCAGCAGCCCTCTTCCTGAGGGCAACAGCACAGTCTGGTACAGCAAGGGTATGTTTGTGCCTCTTAGCTATTTTCTAGAGTAGCATTCAGGGCAACACTTTGAAACTTCAACCAACTCCTAATACAGAACTCCCAGATGGACAAGAAGTAGGCACCATGGGAGAAGCACTCCTGGGTTTGAGAGATGTACGAACAGAAATGGGATCTTATATTTCTTTACCATTTTAGCTGTAAACAATAAATGGATAAAGATGCCAGACACTGTAGTACCAGCACCTATAAATTACTGGTGTGTTCCTTCTCTTCCTGGCAGGCAGTATGCAAATGATACAATTACAGCCACCATGAAAGAGATGCAGGAATCAGGAACGTTTAATACCCTGACAGAAGCTGTTGAGAGAGAGAGAGCAAGAAAGAACAAGATTCAGGATCTCCTCATCAGGTCAGTGTTGTGTTCAGTACTTTACTGCTTAACTGCTGAAAGCCAAAGTGCATTCTGCCTCAATACACACTAAAAAGGAAAAAAAAAACCACTTCAAGGTACAAAAATGATTCTGCTCTCTACTTTACAAATATTTCTCTTCCAGAAAGAAATAACTGATAATTCTGATACTGATCTGGGCTTGGAATTGCCTGAGCTTTCACCACAGTGGACATCAGTGTCTGCATGAATGCAAATGCTGCTCTGTATCAATTAAAACATAATGTGATATAGGGGCTCCTTGATCTTTAACTCCTTGTCCCCAGTGAAAGCCAGAGCAGCAGAGAATCTGTTGAATCCAGGGCCAGCAACATATGGTCTTTAGGTGATGTGATGCCCAGGAGGGTCTGCTCTGACCCCAATGCTAATATGCTCCCTTGTCCCTTTAGCAGTGAGGGGCTAGCACAGATGGTGACAGTGGCAGTTGTCTTACTTAAGGCTAATCCACCAGCCACAGCATTATAGATCCTCTTCTGTCCCAAATCTGACTGGGTACAGATTTGTTACAATCTCAATTCAAACTGGTAATTCCTTAGGCTCAGACTTCTGTGCAGTGATGGTTTGGAGTTGTTCTTTTTTTTCAGTATGAGAAGCTCTGGTTCAGTCCCCAGCCTGTCAGAGACAACAGAAGTCATCAGAGAAGTATTTGGCCATTTTAAAGCTGCTTTGCTTTGTGTAGCAGCTCAGGCCCATCATTTAGGGTAGACAGCAAAGCTGCTGCTGTAAATCATGATTTGTCATGTGTCCAAGCTACTGGAACAGCCCCAGTGGTGGCTCAGTGGCTGCCTCCAGTGCAAGTCCCCAGCTTCCAGTGAAATGTGAGATTTCAAGCATGAAACCCAGCTCTTCTACTGTCTAAACCCAAGGGATTTATTGTTTATCCATGGAAGGGACAGAACGCAAAAATGGAAGCAGCATGTGGAATGACTACCCAATACTGGAACATGAAAAGCAGCAAATTGTAATAGAAATGACAGGATCCTTTTTATTCCATTCTATCAACCAATTCTAACCCCTGTGTTGTTTGTTCTACTGTTCTTGGAATGAACTTGATCTGTCTTTCAATTGAATATATACTTGTCTGATTTTGTGTCAATGTATACTAGTCTGAAAACAGTCTGCAGTAAGACTCCTTATCAAGAGTTTTTGTTTATCACAGTCACCGAGGGCTCTGAAAGGACTCTGAAAATAAAATGCATGTTTGATTGTAAGGTTGGCACAGGGTGCAATATCTCAGGTACCCACTCTAGTATTTACTGGCTTTAAAGCAAAGCACAAGCATAAAAGCTTAGATAAGCTTCAGGGTGAAATAAGATAATAATAAGACCTAACACAGCACTGCACCTGTTTTGTTTTAAACAGGTAAACAGCTCTGTAGCTTTTTGGCCTTCACTCATATCCCTTCATGAACCTCAGAATCTGAGGGTTTTTGAAAGATTTTAAGTCTGAGATGAAGAAACGATATTCCCTACATATAATGACACCTGCAGCACTTGGCACTGCCAGCTGATGAGGCATTTCTGCACAGTCAGGGAGAGTTTTGCCTGAAACGCAGAAACTTGATAAGCTCCTTTCCTCTCTGCTATAGGAACTGCATCATTCCCAAGTCCACTCCAGGCTTTCAACAACAGCATCCCCTGTTTTTTTTTTGCTCATTCTCCCTTTCATTCCCATGCTCTTTGGGTCTGTGCACCTCCTTATTTTTGGGATTAATTTACCAACTCACTGCTTTGGTGAGGAGTCTCTGTTCCTGACTTGCAGATCTGCTGCCTCCCCGAGGCTCAGAATGAAGAGATAAATGCCTTTTTTGCTACTCAGCCACGGGAAGGGCTTTGTCTTCTGCTTTTCTGAAGCAGAAGGTCACACTTGTGTGCACTTCTTTCAGTTCAGCTGCTAGAAACTCGCTGAGCGAGCAGGGTAAGTGGGGCAGTGCTCAGCTCTGTGCTGCAGTGTATCAGGAGGCAGGAAGTTCCCCTTCTTCCCCTTGTCTTTTTTGATATATCCAAGTGATTGTATTTTCCCATTCTTCTTCAGGGAGGAGGAAGGAAAGAAGGAGATAAAGGCACTTAAGGAACAGCTGCAGGCTGTCAAGAAAGAAACTGAAATAGAACTTAAGGTGAGATCATTTAACCCTGGGCATGAAGCCAGGGGGGAAGGCTGTTGGCAAGCTTGCCTCTGCTGCCCAGGAACTAGCACTCAGAGGAGGGGACATGTGGCACATCTAGTGATCCATCATTTAGGGATACAGAAGCAGAATAACTGCAAGAAAGATTTGTATTCTGAATAAGCCTGCTAATGACTTTAAGAGCAGTGTCCAGCTCAAAGTGCTCACAGTTGTGAGACACCATGATCAAATCAGAATACCCCAAAACCACAGACACCAGCAATCAGTATGAAGGAGGTTATCTGCAGAATCTAAGCTTCTGTCATACTGTTACAGACTTCACACCTGCTGCAGAAGCTGGTGTGAGAATGAGGGAATGAGACAGAAAGCTGGCATAGGGGCACATCACTTCTCTACCTACAATTTTGTTTGGGGAAAAGGTCATAATTTTATTCTGCTTTTCTAGACTTATATATATTAGAAAATCTCAAACATGGGAGTCCTACACAAGGGCAAATCGATGTGATTGCACATATGCTGTCAACTTGATCTTTCTGGAAAGCTTCAGCCCTTCTGTCTGCAGCACACAAATGGTGTGTGCATGGACAGCAAATCTGGGGCATTCTGGCTATGTCAGATTTGCTACATACGTGCAAATCAATTGGATGGCGGATCCCTGGTCACTTTGATGCTCACCAGACAGATCAGACTTGATGCTCATGTGTGCTTTAAAGCAAAAGCACATGCAGTTCTGTGCAGAAACACAGAAATGTAGCCCAGGAGTGTGTGACAGAAAACAATGAAAAGGCAGGCAGGTTCAGAGCTAAACATGAACTGGAAGAGGAACAAGAATCTGATGGTTGGTTCAGTACTGAGCAAGAGGACAGAAAGGGCAGCTGAGGAAAGAATCAGTATCACTGAATTTTGGATATTTATCTTTGGATAAAAGTGTGAACCAAAATCAAGTCAGGATATAGTTGGCTACAGAGAGGAATTTTAAGCCACTGACATGCTGGTGAAGGACAGTTTTTAGAACATGTAGGGTTTGTGTTGGCAGCCTGGATGCATGTGCAGTGGAAAGTTTAATTGTGAATACAGGATGGTTGTAAGAACATGAAGGATTTACTGGCACTCACAGTGTATGCAGCTGTCTGTAACTGATGAAGCACCAGAAGTCTGGGGTAGATACTAGAACAGCAGAGAAGAAAGCACAAATGTACGAGATGGGAAAATTCATCTAGGTCAGTACCCATCTACTGGCAGAGATCCTGGAAATAGACAACATATACTGGGAAGTGTAGCAAGATGAAAAGAACACTGGAAAAAAAACCTGTGGACATACAGGGAGGAGAAAGAAGGTGGGTCACTGGAAATGGAAAGTTAACAAGTTAGGAGACAAACTGAGAAATAACAGTTGTGGAAACTAAAAGAGAAATGAAGGACGAACTTTTTTATCCTGTGGATTCAAACAGAACATCTAAAGGGTGCAGAGGTCAGAGCCAGGACTAAAAAGGGGAGCTGTTCACCTCAATATATACTCACTGCCACTGGAAATGGTATGGGAGCCTATTTCCAGGCCCTATGGAACAACCCAAAAGTCCTTTGATATCTGTGTGACAGTGAAATGAAACAAGCTGGATAGTTTCTCAGGCTCAGGGACTGCATGTTGCCAGTTTGCTTCTGCACATTATCCATTCTCAGCCACATTCTGATGGCTCCTGGGAAGCTCTTGTTCTCCCACTCCCTGGGCTAGTGAATATGATGAGGTAGGTCCCTGTGTAGTGCTCCTTGAATCTCTCAAGTGTCTGCACATGGATATGTATGCAGTTCTGATTTAATGCCTTCCCAGGGCCTGGTGCAAAGAGGGCTGTGATCATCCCATCTGGCACTAGCAGCAATGTCCTGGCACTGTGCAGTCAGGCTGGGCACATCTCTGTGTCCTGCACTGCACCTCTCCTGTCTCTTACAGCCATAGGAAGGTGAGCAGCTCCCATGCTGAGGGTTCTCTTCTCTGTGCTCTTTCCGTAACTTCTGCAAGTTCAAGATCAAGTGGGATCTGCACTCATCTGGGATATTGTTTTTATGTTTTCAGCTTAATAGTCCTTTTCTGGGCTTCCTTATAGTTTCAGCTTTGATAACAAATCAAAGACAAGACTACTTTCAAGTACTGCTTTCCTTCTGTGCCAAAAATAATGGTGTCTCACTGTGTCTCCCATGGGAGAATAATTTATATTTGTTTCATATGGGATTTTCCCATAGGCAGTTTTACAGACACTTGTACAATTTGTCACCTTGCCAACTAATTACAAACAAAAATACAGCTTGCTGATTTGGAGTACTTTGAACAACAATAATGCACAGACCTGTAGACAAAAGCCTACATGGTTGTCTCCAGTCTAGTGGCTGAGAAAACAAAAGAGAGCAAAGCTAATCGCAGAACCAGAAAAACACGGTCTGTGCTTCATCCATGTTGCCTATTTTCAACCTTGCTAGCTCTTAATTAGATGCTCTTAATGAGATGCTAATTAATGCTGTATTAGCCTGATCAGCTCATATTTCCTTCTAATGGCACATAAATCACATGCTAAATATTTATATTTGTTTTGTTTTCTTACCTCCTGGAAAGCACTGATGTCTCTAGAAAGGCTGAAATGATCAGTCTGGTTTTGTTCTTAACCCTCGTGCAGAAGCATCACCCATAGCTCTGGTGTGGTGGCAGGAGTCCTGTTTGCTGCTGCAGTCTTCATCTTCTAGCTTGTACAAAAGATACTGTTTTTTTTTTTTCTGGTTTCCTGGACAACTGATGGCAGCCTGTACAGATTTTGAAACAAGTTAATGCTGTATGGGATTATACGGTTTAACATAAACATAGAGACTGTACATTTCCTGTACATTTCATGGGACTCTCCTGCCATACACCTGTGCAAGGGACAATTTTATAACAAGCAGTGATGTTTCAGGCTACCTACCAGACAGAAAACCAAGATTTTGCACCACAGTGACAGTGAAAACAGGTCTGTAACTTTCACTCCACGTGGGCTTTTGTAACACACCCTGTCCCAGCGAGCAGCTTGGCAGTGCTTTTAGTGGTACAACTAAAACCCATCATGTTTCTTCTCTTATCCTCTCCCAGGAGGGTAAATGCATCGACAAAGTGTTCTAGGGGAGTGTTTTAAACATCTACACGTTTGCTGGTGCATGTTTCTGCTGGAGGAATTCACCAGGTGATCGCAGTAGAAGGCTGGAGAGCTGCTGTGCTCCTGAGCTGGGCAGCTTGTTCTGCTGCCCCCAGAGCCAGCTCAGCAGCACCTGCAGCTGCTGCACCAGGTCCAGACCTGGCTCTGGAGGCACAGGACTTTTGACAAGAGTCCTTCTGCCAACAGAGCTGCTCCCTCTGCCAACAAACTGCCCCTGACACAGCTCGTCCCACAGCGGGGATGGGAGGTGAGCTGGCAAGGCCTGCAAGAGCTGTCACCCGGAACAGGGTGACCTGCCAGGCTGCTGCCCCTTCCCTGCCGTGCTTCCCAGGGATGCACAGCACAGAGATCTGGGCCTTGGCCTTAAGGGGGTGTCCATAGGGCTGCACCTTGTGGTTTTGAGGGAAGCAAGTCCAGGCTGCAGCAGATTTGTGGATCAAGGAACCACAGAACGGTTTGGGTTGGAAGGGACCTTCAAGATCATCTAGCTCCAGGCCTCTGCATGGACAGGGACACCTCCCACGAGATCAGGTTGCTCAAGGCTCCATCCAACCTGGTCTTGAAGACCTCCAGCAGGTCCAAGGGTACCTTCAGGCTCTGCAAGCTGAGGTAGAGCAGCTGCCACTGGAAAGGCTTGAGCTCATCCACAGCTGGGGAAGCAGCAGGTCCCTTCCCCTGCCCCCTCCCAGGCCAAATGGCAGTAGAGGTTTACCCCACTGCAGGAATTCCTCCTCTTTGCTATTGTTGTAACCAGCTGTATTTTAAGTGACTGTGCACACTAATTGCTGTGGAAGAGCTGTGAGATCCAGGGGGCACTTGCAAGAGAGATAAATCAAAGTGAATGAAAGCACAGGAGAGCTCATACATTCCAGCTCAGGGTAGTTGCTTTTGCTGCCAAACAGCATCTGTGGGGCAGACTCCTGTGGCACTGGTAACACAGCAGACAGGCCTCTGAGCTGATGTCTGCGAGCTGAGGGATCAGAAAAAATCAGCTTGTTTACCTGCTTGTGAAGCAGACTGGCTCTTGACAACTATTTTCTGGGTTTTGATCTTGGTGCCTGCCAGTTTTGTGATAGTTTTGGACACACGAGGTATGATTTTGCATCTTTGGTTTGGCAGATTCAACGCTGAAGTCATCCCAAATAATCAGCCCAGAGGTTACTGCATTAAGTGCCCTGTGTCCTGGCTGGGACCTTTGCTGTGCTAAACCAGAAAGAATAAATATTAACTCATGTTCCCAGTGTCTGTCTCTGAAGTTCAGGGAGCAGGATACTCCACAGATGGTACCCACAACTTATGGGCATTTACTGCTGCATTTACTACCTGCAGCCTCACACTGGACGTGCCCCAGTTCTGCAGCCCCAGGCCCACCAGCGGGGCTTCGGTAGCTGCCCACACGCCTGCAGCTGCTTTTCTGAGCAATAAACCACCCGTGGGGGGGTTATATTTCACTTACCCTCTGCTTTGGATTGTGTAACCAAGCCCCCAGACTCCTGACCTCTAACAAAGATGTTTTACAACACCACAGACCAAATCCAAACCACAAACATGCCCTACAACAAAGAAAACAAACAGAGCAGATGGGCCCCCATCCCAACTGAGGCCTGGGGTGCTGGAATCAAAAACACTTTTCCTTCTGCTCTACTAAAAGCTGAGATGATCTGCCCCACCTCTTCGAGTACCCTGGAACCCAGGCTGAACCCTTCTTCCCTGACCTGTTTGCAGATCCTTAGCAGGTAGCAGTAACACTGACATTGGCAGCACTTGGCTTTGCTGAGCCTCAGTGCCACCAAAAAATCAGTGGTTTTCATTAGCATCTCCCCAGTCTTCCTGCCAGCCCCTCAATTTAAACATGATTCCACCATGACACAGAAAAAACAATCTCAAAGTAAAGTGATACCATCACTTCCCATGCCTACTGACCAGGAACACAGCCCCTCCTGATGCCCATCAAAAATTTCATGCCAGGGAAAACAAAGGGGCACAAATCAGTGATGTCTATAGGTCTCTGCAGTCCCGTGATGATATGGCTGTAGAATAGCATCTGGGGTTGGGAACCTTCAAAAAATGTGAACACGTGACTTTTAAACCCACAAAACAGCATCAGCCAAGACCCCTAATTGTCCTGAGCCCTATAAATACACTTTATTCTTCCTAATGATGTCTGACAAGGGGTGCAGAGGGAAAGATTTTCCTTTTAACTGTTCCAAACTCCACTTATAAGGAAACCTTTTCCAAATGAGTCACACAGCACAGGCTTTTGAGCACAGCACTCTGGAGCTGCCTTCGTCCTATGGCACTTTTCCATGTTTACACAGCTAAGGAATGTGAGGGTGCTTCAGAGACAAGACATGTGGGTTTCAACACATTTAAATGCCAGCACTTGGGTATTTCATCTCCAGCTGAAAGGTTTGGCTGAGGAATGTCAAACCTGTCATAGCAGGGCAGGAAAGCAAAGAGAAAGGCTGTAATGGAGCAAGCAGGTGCCAAACCAGAGGCATGAAGATTATCTGGCATAATTGCACAAGCTTTGATGACCTTTTAACTCTTAACACAAAAGTCCAGAGTTTTTAATTTTACAGATGGTTCTTCCAAGTTCTAACCCAAATGAACTTTTAGCTGTTGCTCAAAGTAATTAATTAAAAAGGAGTAAATGAAACAACAATCCCAAATCAAGCAAATGTACTTTGTTTTCTGAGCAGGCTGCAAAAGCTGGACAAATGGAGCACTTTGGGCTCAGGGTTCTTGTCCATGAGGGAGGCTCCTGGGAACAGAATTCCCCTAGAAAAGCTCAGCTCCCTTGTGAAACAAAGGACAGGGAATAGGCTGGGACATCACAGCCAACTTTTCCTTGGCACTTCTTCCTCACCTTGGGTCTATGTTTTTATAACAAAGTGGGCAGCATCTACCTGGTAAGGTTTCAAGAAAGAACTGTTTAAACATATGAGCAAGATTAGATTTTCACCCGTTCATAAAGTTGTGTGTATAAAGCTACAGTGTAACTAGAAAAAAATGAATCCAAGGAAGAGAGTCCACTTTAGGAACTCAAATTTAGGCTTACATGGGTCTGAGGCACCATCTCACTCTTAGAGATGCTGACTCACTGAGATGGCCTAATCTCAGAGGTTAGTAAGGCCTACCTTTCAGCAGCTGAAATTATTTTGCTTCTTTCATGCTTACAATAAGCACGACTGAGACCAGAAGGCCTGGCTTCTTGTCCCACTTTATCACTCTACCCTCTCCAGAACTAATCACTCCTCACTAATGAGTTTATTGCCTTCTGTGTGTGTTACAAATCAAACTTCTCTTTGAAGTAGAGGTTGAAATGGGGTGACATTCAGGGGAAGTGTAAAGCCTATAGCCTGGTATCTTCTGAGTTGATCGGGGAGTGGAGAGATTAGGAGCTGAGCTCAGTCTCCAGGCTTGCTTTTGTGCTTTTCTGTCTCCTTCTATAGAAGAGAGATACAACCATTGCTTATCTCATGGATGAGCTCCAGGAGACAAAGGCCAAAGCAGACATGGAGATCAGCTACATGAAGAAGAGAACAGACCTCCAGATCCACCAAACCAAGAAGAAGTGCAGCAATGCAGAGAATGCCCTGGATGAGGAAATTCAGGTAAGCCCTTCCCCATGGCTACTAGAAGGCATCTCCAGCTACTAAGGAAGAGTCCTCCCTCACTCTCCAGATGTTCTTCTTCTCTCCATTGCAGTCACCAACAGACCTGTGAACTGGATCAGGGAACTCATCCAGGTCAGAAGTCTTTATCTCCCCCATTGCTTTTCTGTATGGTCCTGCAAACAGGAACAGCATGAACAGCAGGGCTGCAGGAGGCAGTGGCTGGAAGCAGGGACTGTAATACCATCATCAGAGAAATGTCCAAAGGGTGTACTTACAAGGCTACTTAGGAAGAAATTCTTTAATGTCAGGGTGGTGATACACTGGCCCAGGCTGCCCAGAGAAGCTGTGGAGGCCCCATCCCTGGAAGTGTTCCGGGCCAGGTTGGATGGGGCTTTGAGCAACCTGGTCTAGTGGGAGGTGTCCCTGCTCACAGCAGACGTTGGAACTAGATGATCTCTAAGGTTCCTTCCAACCCAAACAATTCCATGATTCTATGACATATGTGTTGCTTACAGCACACATTGCTGCTAGAGCTGTTCCTGTGGCCAGAAGGTGAACTGGACTAGAAAACTCTTCAGGTTTTGCAAGCTGTTCTGTCTTTTTTTTGGCTGCTAAGGTCTGATCCAGTTGTCCCATCCTCATGGATGGCCCAGGGGTAAGGACTGCCTCAGTTAGCTTTGTCACTGGGAAGAATGTCTGTGGACTCCACAGGTGACTCCTGCACTCTTGCTCACCACCTGGGCTGGCTGTACAAACACACACACACACACACATAAACACACACACACACACACACACTAACGTTGTCTCTCACATTTTCTGTCTGTGCTGACCACAGAAGCTGAAGAGCAAAACTGACAAGGAGATCCAGGTCCACAATGAGGTTGAAAATTTCCTCGGGCGACGCTGCAAGGTAGGGGTGACTTTGTGATTAAAACAGCAGCTGATAAACACTGTATCACCAGTTAGTGCCTAAAGAAAATCAGTTACTGCTCCAAAGTTCCCAGGTTCATGATTGCAGCTGTTAGGATTACTACTTATCCTCAATTTTTAATTAACCCTGCTCTCCCAGACTTGGGATTTGCTACATTTGGATACATTGCCTTAAAATTACAAGTCATGTAATGTCTGACAGTGTTTATTCAGGTGTTAGGGGTTCTTCCTCCCTCAGACAGTTCTGTTCAGTTAATTGGGGTTTTGTTTAGACCTTCCTGGGCAGTAGCTGGGGCTCCCAGCATGGGTGCTGTTGTGCAAAGGGAGGGCAACAGTTTCACAGCTCCAAGTGTTGCATGGAGGGGGCACCAAGAAGGAAATGACACCAACTCCCAGCCCAGTTTTGCCACCTTTTCTTAACCTGAGGAAGAATCAGGGTTGAATAATTGCTAACTCACAATTATTGTACCCATTTTTCAGTTGCAATGTCCTTGTGCTGTTGATCCAGAGGTTCAGAGCTTTCCTATAACAGCCATGCCTGTTACAGTGGTTAACACTGGAAAGCAGCTGTGTGACTGGAAGGAAACCCATACTACTGCAGGGTACCTAACATCAACATTTAATAGAAGATAATTTAAAAAAACAACAACAAACATAAAATTGAGTGCAAGAAAGTGCTGCATCTTGAGAGCAATTAAATAGTGTCCTCCATATCCCAGAGCCTTAATCTGATCAACAATTCATAGTGAGGGGACTCTCCACATACAGGCTGCAGCCTATTTGACCCCTACCAGAAGGCAAAGCACAAGCCTCTCTGTACTCAGACAGCAGCTGGTGGCTTTATAGGGGCTCACAGAGAAGAGGATGACCATGCCCCCACCTCCCTTGTGTGTCCAGCTGTGACACTGTAATGAGATTGATGTTTTTCCTCAGATTATTTTTCCATGCAAGCAATCATGGCTGTTGCTATGGAGAAGTTATTTGTGAATGGGAGGAAGTAATGTGGGTGACTGTTTCAGCAACACCTGCCCTCCTATTCACAACTGAGACAAAGCCAAGTTCACAACCTGAAACAGTGTGAAGTGCTGTCCCCTGGGACCTTGTTCCTGGTGTGCTGAGCTTAATCCAGAAAGAAGGCAGGGAGTCCAGCTGAGGATAAAAGCTTTCTCACTGTTAAATTCTGTTTTTTAAATGCCCCTCCCTCTGTATAGGCACAAAGAATGGCTTCTGGTTGTCATTTACTTCCCCAGGATTGACTGTGCACAAAACTAAGCCCCTGTGCTTCTCCATTCTTCACACACCTCTGAAAGCACAACCCCTCCTCATCCCCAGCCCAGTCCTGTGGCTCCCAGGAATCCCCAGTGAGGAGCCTCCAAGCCACCAGATACTCATCACTGGTTCTGGGGGTTTGATCCTTTCAGGGCTTAGATGAGAAGCAAAGACTGATCATGCAAAATTTATGGGACTCTTACTTACTATCATCCTGAAAGCAGGCCAGGTAACAGCAGCAGCCTTTCTCCTGGAGACTCTTTGCACTGGGCTGACCACCCCTCTGTTCCCATGCAGACACTGGTGGAGAAGCTGGAATATTGGGCAGACAAGTATGAAAATGACATGGGTGCCAAAGATGAAGAACTGGATGCCCTAAAAGCATCAAAGGCAAGCAACTTGGAAAAACTGCAGAAGATTGCCAAGGAGGTAAGACAGCAGCAGCATCTCAGTGCTTAGTCATGCAAACCTGCATCCTGGCTTTTTCCTACTCTCCTTCAGATAAGGAATCAGGACCATGGAAGAAAAATAATCAGTCATTTCCAAGTGCAGGGTACAATTATAAGCACTGGTCCCAGGAAGGCAGGGACTGCAAATCTTCTGTTTGCCACCTATGACAACAAAGTGGGATGATGTTTCCCACACAGCTATTTTCAAATAGCAGTAAGTAATCAGAGAGCTATTGACAGCCTTTGTGCAGGGCAAAGAGACAGTTCCATCCCATCACTGTGCATCACTTAGTTTGTTGCCTTAGTCTGAACAAATCTGCTCCTTCCAGCAACCCTGGGCTATGCCAGGCTGAGCCTGGGAAAGGCAGCTCCATCCCCTCCTGCAGACACACATTCCCAGCTGCACAGCACTGCTATACAGGAACTGATTCCAGTTAAAACCATTCCTGCCCCACATTAGTCTCTTGGTTAACTGCCAGGCTGTGATCCCAGCTATGCTGTGATGGCTGCTCACTTGTTGCACAGCAGAGCAGGCAACACAGAGAAGAAATGTCTTGACAAAAAAGGGCATTTTAGAGCCAAAAAGAATTAACTTGTAATAATTTCTTACTGTCACTGGGTCTGAGACGATGGCACTGAGTTAGATGTTTCCCTGCTTGTGGGCTCATTTTTCACTCTGTACCCTGTCATCTCGGTGTCCCCAGTGTGTTTGTACATCATCTGCTGCCTCCCCCAGGGGAGCACAGGTCCTTCCCACCACCATCTGTTGCCTGAGACGCCGTCAGTCACTTCACAGCAAAGGGTCTGAGGGTTAATTATACCTGGGCCATGAGAGGTTTCACTTTGGCAGGAGCTCTCAGTGCCCTGAGGACTGGTGGTGGTAATGAGGAACATTTACCATCTGGATTCAGGAAAGATCAAACATGAGAGGTGGGGGAGGAAGGCCCATGCTTACACATTACCCTTGGGCTGCCAGGGAGCTCCTTGGTGCAGGCTGAGGACCCATATCATGACCCATAGGCCAGAGCAGTCTGGGCTGGGCTGTGAAATGACTGTGTGTTTTTCACGTGCTGTTGTCACCCCTGTGGTCTCTTGCAGTGCCAGGTGTTTGAGGAAACCATCATCAGTGACCGGGCAGAAAGGGAGGCTAGAAAGAAACAACTGGAGCAGGATGCCCTGGAGCTGAAGAGCATCCTGAAGGTAAAGGGGAGCAAAGCTGAGGTTGTGCTTGGGGCTGTGCCCATCACACCAGGCATGGGAGGTACAGGGAGGGTCAGAGGGCAGTGCCCCCACTTGTCCCCTTGCCACCAGCAAGGGATGCCCTCAGCCTTGAGGTGGAAACCTTCAGTGTAACCAGCATGGGCCCAGCTACAGCTGCCTGAGCCAGGGCTCCCTCCTGCAGCCAGGGAGTGCTGGAGAGATGCCCCAAGACCCACTTCTCTCTCTTGCTTCCAGCTGCAGGCCTGGTGGAGAGGCATAATGGTCCGCAGAAACCTTGGCCCCTACGAGGCCCTGAAGAAGTTGAAGGCGAAACACCTAAATCAGAAAAAGGATGGAGAAAAGGAAAAATCAAAGAAAAAGTCAAGATAAGAAACCTGGCTGCAGATGTGCTCCTGGGCTGCTGTTGGGCAGGGCACTGCAGTCTGTCTGTCTGACAGAACCAAATAAAGCACATTAACTGAGCTCAGGCTATTCTGGAGAACACAGTTCATGACGCTATTAAGGTGAAGCTGCAGTAACTCTTAAGATCTTGAAGCTGCCCTTGTGCAGCAGAGACAGATTTCTCCAGCAGGAAGGGGCTTTGGATACCAGCGAGGAAAGCTCCATCTCCCGAAGTGCTGCATGGAAACAGGGCTGCTAGAGGGAGCTCACCCCGTTAAGCTCCCAGGCACTCACCTGCAGGGGATGCTCCGCACCAAGGGCCTCCTGGGCAGCCCCCCCAGCCCCGGCCGGGGCTGAAGCGCTGGTGTGTGCGG